CTCTCAGAATGACTACCCAACTCCCCTATCCACCCCGAGCCGCCGTGTGGAGTTGGTCCCCGGGGGAAATTATGGGCTAAGGATTAGGTTTCTTCAAAGGAAACCCCCGCGGTTCGGGGGCCCCCCTCCGTTGGGGCTCCCCCCCCGAGGAAAAGCGGCGCCGGGGCTCGGGGGCGGCCCCTAAACTTGGCGTCCGCGCGGCTCCGGTGCCGGCTGCGCCTCGCCGTGCCCAGCGAGCCAGCGGAGAGGGGCCGCGGCGGTCCGCTCCCGCCGGGCCGCGCCCGCCTCCTCGCCCTTCGCCGCGGCCACTGCCCCGCCGAGCTCTGCCGGATCGCCGCGGCTGCGGCGCGCATCGGGGCTCCGAGGAAGTTGACCGAAGAGGCTGCGTCAAGATCCCCGGGTGCGGCTCGCACGAGGCCGGCGCAGCCGCCTCCTCCACCGGCTATTGTTGCAGACTGTTTGCTGGGGGGCCCAGCCTTTCTCCGAAACTTACAAAGAAAGTGTTGGATTGCCCCTGGTCGGAACGGAGGCCTCGCAGACCGCCTCTGGGTAGCTGGATGCCACCCAGCCCCGTCCCCTTCCGGTACCAAAGTGCTTACTCCTCTCCAAAGTGCCATGTCTGAACTGCTAACGCGAAGGAGCGGCTCCTGAACCCTGCGCACACCTCTCTGCACCTGCCCTTTCTCGGCCACCTCCCCAGGCCGCCGCAGCGACGGAGAAAGCCCCCCCCCTCTGGATGTCCTCGGTGGAAACTGGGTCTCCGAGGCTGGCAGGCTGAGGCTGGATTTGAGGGAGGAATATTGGACTTGGAGGAGTCTGCGCGCTCTTCGCCTCCGCGCGCCTCCCGGTCGCCGCTAGTTCAACCGCTCCGTCCCTGAGCTCGCTCCCCCACCCCACCCACTTCCTGTGCTCGCCCGGGGGGCGTGTGCCGCTGCCTGCCGGAGTTCTGGGAAGTTGTGGCTGTCGAGGATGGGGGTCTGTGGGTACCTGTTCCTGCCCTGGAAGTGCCTCGTGGTCGTGTCTCTCAGGCTGCTGTTCCTTGTACCCACAGGAGTGCCGGTGCGCAGCGGCGATGCCACCTTCCCCAAAGCTATGGACAACGTGACGGTCCGGCAGGGGGAGAGCGCCACCCTCAGGTAGGGAGCTGCGGCTCTTTTGCTAAAATTGCGGATCTGGATGGGGCGGGGGTGGGAGGGGATGAGGGGCAGGAGTGCAGGTGTGTGCGCTGGAGCCCGCCCGGGCCGGGCAGAGAGGGCGCTGGGTTCCCTGGCTGCGTGGTTCCTGCGTGAGCTGAGTGCGCTGCCCGGGAATGTGGCGGTCACGGGCGAACGCTCTTCGGTTCAGTGCGCGGAGCTGCTGCCCCACCACGGGCCTCCTGGGCTCTGGGACTTTGTGCGGGGTGAGAGGTGGCTGTCTGCGCTAGCGAGCTGGAAGCAGGGACTCTTTGCACCTGTGCCTGAGCTTGGTGGCCGTGGTGGCTGGGAGCCTGGAGGGGGCTCAGTGTGAGCAGCCTCCTCTGGAGTCAGTGAGTCCCCCAAGGAGGGGGCTGCGTGGTGTGAATGCCCTGCCTCTGCCCCTGTCGCTAGTGCCTGTGTCTGTTTCCCCCCGGGGCTCCCGGACCCTGGCAGAGACCCTGTGTTCTGCTGGGCCTGACGCTTCGAGGGCTTTCCTGAGCTGGTGGGCACCGAAAGATGCCTTCTCCTGTCTGAATGTGGTTTCTGAGGCTGAAGCAGTCGGGTTTGTCTACAGGAAAATATTATTTCCTTTGGTGAACTGAGATCCATTCATGCTGTCCGCCCAAACAGCGTGTGTGCAAAACTTCCCTTACCCAGCAGGGACAGGGTGCCAGTGTGGTGTTGGGCCCTGGTGGTTTCTGGAGCTCAGGCTCCCAGGAGCCAGGGGGCTCTGTTTTCTGTTGGGTGGGAGGCTCCTGTCTCCCTGCCTGCCTTGTCCCTAGAAACAAACGCTGACTCAATTTCCAGGGTTGACAAACCACTCTGCTCACAGGAGACAACATACTCATGATTGCAGTGGGGAATGTCACTCTGGGATTTTCTCCCAGGGGAGGCAGGACGAAGAAGTTGAGATGGTTCATGGAAACAATTCCTTCGATAAAGTTTTCCAGATTGGGGTGTTGAAGTCACCGCAAGGCAATGTAGCTCTGTTCTCACCTTTTACCCGTGCAGGCCCTTGGCAAATGCCCCTAGGGTCCAACTGTTTTGGCGCGTGATGGCTGTTCTGAGTTCCGGTTTGTTTGTGCACTGCATCCCTGGGGCGATAACCCACAGAAAGGAGAATGTTGACAGGACAGTGCAGAGGGAAGTGCTTTGATTTAAGAAGCTGTGCGGAGCGGCAAGCATCCCATGATCCTTTGTCTTTGGGAGGCTAATGCTGGTGGCCCCAGTGAGCACCTCTGCACTTCTTGCACTGCGCTGTTGAGGGAAGGATTCTGGACAAAGGCGAAACGTGGAGCTGCCTCCACTCGGCCGGGATCGAGTGCCTGCCTTAGAAAGGGGTTTCATGGCAGCTGCAAAGATGCAGCCAGTTCAGCCTTCTAAAGCACAAGAGCAAAAGTAAATGTCTAGAGCAATATAGCCAATGGAATTTAACCCTGTCCAGACGCCTCCTTTGTCCCGAAACCCTGGGTTGCAAGGAGGAAGCCTCCCCACCCCCACCCCAGCGACAAAATACAGACGTGGTCATGTGGGAAACATTTTAGATCAAGATGGGGTGGTTTATTTATTTTTGTCAAGAAGGTGGAAGACAGCTGTGTGGGGATTTGGAGATAATAAATAGCAAGTGGGCTCGGACAGGCAGGGACTCTCACGATAAGGGAAAAATGAAAGGGGTTGGAGATGCTGGGATCTGGTCTCCCCAGGGCGGCCCACGAGGCTCCTGAGCGTCAGGGCTCTCTCTAGGGAGCGGTGTGTTCAGTCCTGGGCAGGGAGCAGCTTCTGTCCAGTCTCAGGGTCTGGAGCTGGCTGGCTTCTCTTGGCTTCTCTTGCTTCCTGTTTTTTCATCCTGGGCAGGGGGTCTGTGGCCTTGTCTCTTTGACATTAATGTTTGTTTGTCTTAGTACAAATGCCTTCCACATGCAAGTCTTGTTTGGGTAAAGAGGAAGGAAGAAGGTTATGGTGGGGCTTCCCTCCTGAGGCTCACGTTGGTTCTCACCAGCCAGGGCCTTTAAAAGGCCAGCCCGGATCACCTGCAGTTCTGTGTCAGCATCAAGGGAGGAAGGAGGACCCTCGGAGTGGACAGAGTTCTACCACACGGGGTCACCTGAGCTGGGCCTTGACTCGGCCATGCCTTGGGTCAGGAAGTGAGGCCCCAGGTGTAACAGGCAACTTGATGTCTCCCAGAATTCCTCTCATTTGCCTACTGTAACGCTCTGGAGCCAGGAAGGGCTGCCTTGTTGGGGCTGTGGTTTCCTGGAGTGGCAGCCCTGGGCTCTCCAGCACCCAGGCTCTGCATTTTCTAATTGTCAGTGCAGACAGGCAAGCAGGAAATGCAGAATGAATTTTGTTTGCATAAGGATCACTTTATTTGCATGTAAACTGATTCTGGGTTGCAACAACCTAGGGTTCTGGACTGTTTTATTTTCATTGTGTGTGCAAGAGGTGGTGGTCTGTTCTTTCCCTCTCCCTTCCATTTCTCCTTCCTTTTTTTTTCTTCTGGCTAATCATGACCAAGCTATAAGGAACCACCATAAGGGGAGGCCTGAGCCCCTCTGCTTTGCCCCAGGAGTCACCCCATCCGCTGTCCACCTCTGTGGGTGATGGTGGTGACGATGCTTGTAGTTTTCTTCGTAACCAGCAGAGGACTTTTTGCTCTAATTTCATTTTATTCTGCTTTGTTCTCTTCAGTATCGCTTCTTGAAGATCTCTTCCCAATCCCCAAAGAATAAATGCTTCAGCAGCAGATTCCAATGTGAGGAAACTTTGAAAAAAATGTTTTATTTTATCCAATTAGCTCTAATGATCCTGCTGGAGGTATTGGGAAACCTTACACTTAACACGCCATTGACAGCCTGCAAAGAATTGCAAACAGTTCGCCATCTCCCACTCTTTCTGCCCTCCTGCTGATACTCTGTATGCATATTTTTAAAGGGAGAGGTGACATCAAAACAGAATCTGCAGAAATACTGTCAGGCAAGGCTTGTTGAGCCGTCAGTATTTGAGGGAAATGTGAGTGTTTTGTATCTCAAAGCCATCACTCCAACCTCAGAATGACATTTAACCTTGATCACAGCATGCTGCAGGTGCTATTGTTATACCCATCTTTATAGATGAGAAACCGAGGCCTGGAGAGTTTACATCATTTGAGGGAGGTGGCACGGTTAGGAAGTTTTGGAGTCAGATCATGAGACACCAGTAATAATTTAACAAGATGAATAATATGTCAGTTGTTGGCTAAACATTCTATGGGGCTGCACTGTGGTGTAGAAGGCTAAGCCTCTGCCTGCAGCACTGGCATCCCATATGGGGCACTGGTTCGAGTCCTGGCTGCTCTACATCCGATCAAGCTCCCTGTTAATATAACCTGAGAAAACAGGGGAAGATGCCCCAAGTACCTGCACCCATGTGGGAGACGTGGAGGAAGCTCCTGGCCCCTGGCTTCGGATCGGCCCAGCTCCAACTGTTTTTGGCCATTTGAGGAGTGAACCAACAAATGGAAGATTCTCTCTCTCTCTCTCTCTCTCTCTCTCTCTCTCTTTCTTCCCCCCTTCTCTGTCTGTATCTCTGTCTTTCAAATAAATAAATCAATCTTTTATAAAGAAAGAAAAAAAAGCATTTTATGTACATGGTAACATTTAATCCTCAAAACTCTCTGAAATAGACTTAATTATCCTGCATTTACAGTCGAGGAAGCTGATGCCCAGGGAGTTACCTAAAACCTCACAAGTAGCAATGTGCAGGCTTGGGGTAAAGACCCAGGCTTGGCTCCTGACTTTGTGCCCAAGCCATTCCTAACTACTCAAGACCCCCTGGATTCTGCACCACCACCCCCCCCAGTTCCTCAGCGGCATGGAACATCTGCCACTCATTTTGATGTAGACCCTGATTTGCAATGGCGCTCAACTCTCTTATTTTTCCACGTGGGCTGGGGCACAGCTACTGGCTACTGGAAGGGGAGGCTCCTACCCTGTGCCAAGAGCAACTCTCCCGCCCCCCCCCCCCCCCCCCCCATGCTCTCAGGGATGCTTCATGAGCGAAATAAATGAATGGAAACCAAATGAAGATCAGACCCCGCCCCAAATCTACATGCAGTTTAACTCCCACCACTTTTCTCTTTGAAGTCCAGCTGTGGCCATGCAACACACTGATGTGTCCAGAGGTTCTTTCAAGAAGGGCGCTGAGGTAGGGTTGGGATGAGAGATGGTCTAAGGCATGGCTTGGATCTCCAGGGAGCAGGGCCCAGCTCAAAAGCAACGCTGTGGGCTAGGTGGTAAAGAATGGTATGAAGCAGAGGGTAGCTCCATGGCCCCCTGGGGGCATCAATGCGGAGCCAGAGAACCTGGCTGGGCTGCCCCTCGGGAACTCTTGCTGGGCATCAGAGCCACACTCAGCAGTTTCCACGACTGTGTTCCATGGCCACAGGTTCCCCAAATAAGGCGACAGTCAGTAAAATGAATTATTTCATAGGGATCCTCCAGTGAGCGAGTATCAGGCTGAACCGCACCTTCTGTTGCGTGGCTAGACCTTAGCTTTGGCACTGAATGATGTCGCTTTTCTGGGATGAGTTAAGAAATGCCAGGGTCCAGGTTGAGTTGTGTTAGGGCAGCTGCACGGAATGGCCCAGGATGGCGCTCCTCAGCACCCAGGGTGTCCCCGTGTGCAGAGTTGGGCAGCAGGCACTCTGTCCTATAGATGGAAGCCTTAGTGTGTCACCTCCTAAGCAGATCTCTTCTCTGCTCCCTGGCCCTTTTAGCACTGAGGGGGCCTTGAACAGCTTGGGCTTGCACTGACCGCCCCTCCCCTGCCGTGGTTCCCTCTGCTGTGAGCATCCTGCCCTTTGTTCTCTTTTGTGAACACAGCCAACCTATCGGGGACAGAGCCTTTCTCCCAGTGGTTCACTGTTCAGAAAATCCCAGCCCCAGCTCTGCCCATGGGCGAGCTGATTCTTGCCATTGTGGTCG